ATATTTTTTAATGTATTTACATAACAAATATAGTAGTTATGACAGTTTCTAAATGACGATATTCTGCTAGGCCCACGTATTCTCTTCGGCGAAACTCCGGTTTCAGATCTGATAATCAGACCATACCATTTTCAGTGGGTCATGCAAATACATGGTAGAATCATCTGTAATAGGCACATTTCTACAATGTTAAAAAAATGTATACCTAAAGAAGTATAATATTAGTATTACCTTTCTGTTTATTTTGACGTACTATGAGCCTGCACCTACAACTTTGTCTACATTCACATAAACTAAATACCCCTATTTTACAATGGTACACTTCGCATGCTTTAACGACCAGCCATTGAATTCGCTTCGACGCGTAAAGGGATTATCAAACCCTACGCAAAGGCAATTTTGACCAACTGGGTGATCAAACTTATCCCATGGAGGAATATTTCCTCCATGCTTATCCTAATGCGCTCAAATTCAGTCAGGCATGCAACACGTTGTAACAGGGAGTGCAAGATTGAACCTTTCTTGGATAAATAAAAACTCGAAACCTAGATGGCATTAATTAGGCCAAAGGAACAGTTGTAATTATAACTGTTCCCTGATTAAGCCTAACATACTGTAGTTTTTGATTTCATAGTATTACTATTAACTATTAAGTCTAGTAAAATATACTTTGTAAGTGTAGGCATATCCTACAAACACAGTACAGTAATTAGGCGTAGGCCTACGTGGTAAGCTCTGTCTGGTTTTTTTATATAATTGTTTTTTATTTACTTAGGCAATTATCATTTTATTTTATTTTTACTATATATATCTTTCCAAGGAGGTATAAAAAAAATTGCACCAGCTGGAATAACTACCATTTTATGTAGTAGCACTGGCTAGTTGTAAGCAGAAGCCTCTTCCAAAATCCTACTTTCAGAAAACCAAATGCTTCTAAGACTTACCACTAACTCTGTTTCTATAGAGAAGACGGAAGTTACTGAACAGAGTGCCAATACATTTATTAATTACTAATTTCATAATAATTATTTCATAATAATTAACAATGATTGTTGAATATTTATAATTAGTATTTAGTATAACAAATTTGATAATACTCGCTGCATAAGCACATGCAAGAATTGCCACCCTCATTTAAGCTGTTTTTTCAAAGACAAAATATTTACTAAGCTAAGCCATCATATCGCCCTAGAAAAGCTATTTCCATTCACCATCCTACTAGGATGGGCTGTTATTGTTATTATTAAACAAAGAGGGTTGATTATTGTATGCCATCAGCAAGTATGGAATATTTGAGCTTGTTGTAGGCCTACAGAGTTAGTTGAATGTAAGTATCAACATCATCGTTTCAAGTCTGTTTTTTCATCACACAAAATGGTTATTTTTAGAAATTACACTAAGGCATGGAAATCTTGGCATTTCACTATCTTAAGTCCTATTTTAAGTACAGTATTTTGCCAATAAGTTGTCTTTTTTATACCGATGCTGTGATCCTCTACTCCACGCTCAAAGCCGTAAAAACGCGCATAGATGCATATTAGAGAATTACTAATAGTAATACAACAGTCATTATTCCTCCTCCAAAGACAAAGCGATCGAGCGAGACAGCATGGACAGACGACCAAGACCTGGAGCTTGTCTCTTTTTCGTACGATCCGAGACAACTGGACGTATATTATAGTTGTCTCAGGTACAGACTTTTAATTGTTACCAGGATAGGAAGCTGACTGGTTTAAGTTGATTTAGCCTTATGTGTGGTACTGTTATGCTAATGAGCCAGATAAGCACAATCTGCACATGCTCAGAAAAACAGAACTTTCCTTAGCCACACAGCGTGTATCAGCTAGGCCTAGCTGAGAATTACGATACGGTAAAACAAAGCAAAATAAGGGTACTAATTAATAATTAAAGGGTACTAATTTTACTTGGCATGCAAATCAATCATACTTCTTATACACTTAAAAACAAACTAATCTACCAATAAAATCACCTGCTAGTTAAGACATAAGGCAAGTATGTTTAAAAATTAGATTTTAAATTATGTGATTTTGTTTTGTAGTATTACAATTAATATAATATTACTATATAATATAGTACTAATTAATTATAAATAATTTATTAATAGGTATGTATGTTTATCAACTGTGGTGGCCCACGAGAGATTACAATAGTTAATATAGGGTAGGACTAAGGTATTGTATAATGATAAAAGTATATGTGGGGGGAAATCATTTTTTAACTTATTCATGACACCAATATTTCTAGAACTAATATTAAAAATTTTGTTACGATGAGGTTGCCAGGAAAGCTTGGAATCTAATGTTACACCGAGAAATTTTGTTTCACTGACCTGGTTAATAATATTATTATCTGTTTTTAAAACATGATTATGGTCTTGTTTTGTTTTGTGATTAAAAAGAATAAAATTAGTTTTATTAATGTTCAATGATAATTTATTTAATTTAAACCAGTTGAATACTTTGCTTAATTCAGTGTTAGTAATTTTAAAAAGTTCTGGTAAGTTTTTGTTTGAATAGAAAAGATTGGTGTCGTCAGCAAACAGAACAAAACCTAATAATGATGAACAATTTGGGAGATCATTAATATAAATTAAAAATAATAAAGGACCAAGTATTGACATATAATAATAATAATAATAATAATAATATATAATTTAATACTAATAATAATCATAATATTAATATATCAATATATTAGTAATAGTTATCATGATGAATCATTTATTATTTTAACTAATATACGCATATTTAGTCATCACTAATGCTATTTATTTTTCCACAATTTCGCAATATTTGTTTCCGTATACAATGTATTGCAAAAATGAGTGTCGCTTCAGTGGGTGTAATTTGTATTGGTGTACTGTATTGCATTGTCAGCAGTTAAGGTGGATTCCGCTGGGCATGAATCGAACTAGCATCAGTCATCATAACTTAAAATAGTACTACCTGGAGTAGGCCTATATAATAGCTTACGGATTCTATTGACAGTCTTAAACGTTAAGAAGTTCATTGTTGCAGTTTGTTACTACTACTCTTGATAAAAGTAAACATAAATGCATGGTTGTATAAATGTTTGTTTCTGCCGTAGTCGAGATAGTTATCGGACATCATGTGATGTTATTGGAAATGTGGTTGTTGATTTTCAGAAGAACCGTGGCATCGTGTGATTATACTGTATATATGTATATATATGTATATGTATATATGTATATATATATATATATATATATATATATATGAACTTGAAAAGCTTAGACGTTAGTTACATAGGGCTAGTTTATTAGCGCCTGTGACGTGTCTTTATCATCTTGGTTATCATTTTCCTTTTTTATTTACAGTATTTCACGATATCCATAGTTGTAACTGTAGTTTTATTGCAAAAGTCAAGTTTGCTCCATGTTGGTGTAGCCTATAGGTACATTTACGTGTTGATTATTTTTTTTTATCACTCATTCACTCATTATATTTATTTATATATATATATATGTTTTCACAGATGAATAAAGTTGCCGTGTGTATTTGTGTTGCATTTGTATGCAGTGGAACGTTTGCTGTGAACCCGCATAGTGTTTCTAATACCACTCTACGGTCGAAGTTTCCAGATATTCACTGTACAGAGCCACCCGTACAGGAGCTTTTCAGTCAGCTTGCTCAAATTTACCAGTTCAAACCAGGTACGACGTCTGATATATCAAAGTACACTGCAAAAAATGACGACGAATGTCCAAAAAATGCAGATACGTTGTGCCCTTATCATTTAGAGAATATCGAAGACCCGGATCGTGTGCCGTCAACCCTCTCGACTGCTCGGTGTCTGTGTAAATCGTGTCGGGATGAATATCAAGATTGTGCGGTAGGCCTAGGCTGTACGCCGATAACGCGAATTGCCACAGTATTACGTAAGACTGGACAATGCAAATCTGGAGTTTTCCTGTATAAACCCGTTGATGAAACCATACCAGTGGCATGCACATGCGCTAAGGGATCATCAGGATGAATGTTAATGCTACACAACGTGCTTTGATATGAGACTGTGCTTGCCGAACTATCTATTATCCCAATCCTAATCATGTATGAAAAAAAGTGTGGTATGATACAGAAATAACTCATACTCTACACATGAACATTCCAACTAGAGATTTACTGCTGTGCGAAAGTGCAAGTTCAATGAGTACAAACAAATAAGAACAACTTGACTACCACGGAATTTCCATAATATATGCCTACGAAATATTTCCAACACATAATGTAAGCCGGCCGTTTTTTTCCACGATGGGTCATCAGCTTTCGAAATCGAGTGATAGAATCCGACTAAAGGGAGGACAATTTGTCAGTTACTGCACATTTTAGAAAGGAGATCATGGGATTCTAAGCCAGTTAGATCGATATTTAAGATATCGTTTTTTCATACATGCAGCGATAATTCGACGAAATCCCAGCATTCAATCAGTAACACCACCGGTAGATGCTTTTGATGTTTTTGGGGTTGATTGTATTTTTTGTTCGTATCTATTATGTTCTAATTAGATTATCCCAATATAAAACTCTCATGTTTAACTGTTAATTTCAACGAAAAAAAATTGTGCCTGTGGCCATTTCTTGGCATGTTATCTTAGGTAAAGCTTTTAGATACAGTTGTTTATGGGTATCAAATTCTGAAACAAAAAATGAATGATTAACTACACGGTTAAACTATGGACCTATTAATTATTAATAGGTCCATGGCTAAACAATATAAATTGATCCATAAACCTGTAGTACGTTAGACACATAGTATTAAAGAATTATTACTCTTCTTTCATTATATATTTATAATATATATAGTATATATGTATATATATAGTATATATATTATATATGCGTATATATATATATATAGTTTGATATGGTAAACAACAAAGTATACTACGTAGACCTGTCCGATATTATATATATCTAAATGATAATTATTTAATTGAACGCTCCATTATTTAATATAAAATATTTAAATAAAGATGATTTTATATTTATGAAGAAAACATAGTTATATAATTTTGAAGATTTTGTTAGTTTTGTGCGAACGTAAAAATGTAGAGGTATTCCAATATCGATCGATGCCTTATTTTGAATAAAATAATCATTAAAATGTTATTGTAGAATATGTTGTTTTACAGGGTATGGTGTCAGGAAAAGTAAATAGAAACGGGAAATTGTTTAATTTTACAGAGTATGGTGTCGGGAAAAGTTGGAAGTGGCGGATTCAGGGAGCACGGGGGCTACCTCTACCCCCCCCCCCCAGGAAAAAAAATTAATTAAATTAAATTTTTAAAAAAAAGACAGAAAAAGAGAGAAGAAAAGAAAATCCAGAAAGAGAAAGAGAGCACGTTGTATAGCCCTTCTCCAATTCGATTTTAGTCTTTGGTCTCAAGCATTGATAAACAAAATATTGACACAACCCCCGCTCGGTGCTTGTAGCATGACCCCTTTTCCTTCCCAGATTTGTTTTCCAGATCCGCATTTTCTTCGAGTTGTCTAATAAGCTTGAAAATATCAATATCAAGACGATTACGTAACCAAATTGCTTGATTGTTTTAATAAAGTTTCACTTCGATACCACCAATTATGCTGCTCTGAAACATAAGGCCAATCTGATTAATTTGGCCATCGTTTTTATGGTCCAATCATATATCCGAATTATTAGTAGGCCTATATACATTGTTTTTGATCGATACATAATATATTTAATAATAGGCTTATTATGATGGGTAGTCATTGTTCTGTTTTAGAGCGGGGGTTTCTAGGGTGGGTGGGTAGGGATGCAGCCGGCCAAGGCCCCATACACTAAAAAAGCGTCGTATTTGAGTGTTAGTAAAAGGGGTCCCGTGGCCTTCCGGGGATCATTTCGATTTGAAAATGAGCACTTCCCCAAAAAGTACACAGGCGTTACATAATTGGTTACCGTATAGTACGAGGGCCCCCTTCTAATAAATTTGCCTAAGATGAGTGTGTGTGTGCGATTTTAGCGTATTTGGATTTTTGGAAATTATAGAAAAATAACCGTATGTCGAAAAGTTTTAGTAGAGCAGGGCGGATTTGGAGGGGGAGCCCCCCCCCCCCTACATTTAAAAAAAAAAAAAAAAAAAAAGAAATAATAGATCGCCCAAAACGCCTCAAGTGTTAATTTCGGCTGAGATTTCGGGCGTCTAGAAAACAAATTCGCATACCCCCGAACCCCCTAGCACAGTGTTGTCCCGATCGGCCCCTCTCACAGTTCAGACAACAACACATTCTTAATGTCTCATTAGAAACCTACTGAGGGGATACTTTCGTACATTTGAACTAAAACTAATAGAAACAGGACGCGTCTTTGCCCAGCCATTACAATCGATTTGTTCTTACCACACACTCCGGCCAAAAGTATAGTATGGTGTTGATTATATTTAGCTCAAACTTCTATCCAAGTGACCAATACCAGATTTATATTTATTAAATATTTATGAGAAATTACAATATAACTCGTTTTCTTTATGATTTTTTTTTGGCCCCGGGATTCAACCCCTGGCCTGCGGCCAACATTCCGGCCCGCGCAACAATACTGAAATATTTCATTTTCACTTACAACAAAAAGTGTTTACATTTTAGAAACACGACCAACTATTCTGGAATTGTTAACCAGAGTCTTTTTTTCTGAGTGTAGCTCATATTATCTAGTGGAATAGAGCCAAGCTTCCCAAACTACATAGTATAAGTCGCGACCCAAAAGTTGTCACCAAACCTCTGCGTTGAGTCGTGTAGGTTTGCTTAGTGACTTGAAAATATTATTGTCAATTCATATGTGCTAATTTCACGGATGATGTAAAGTCTTTAACAGATCTGATGACTTAAAAACAGTATCTTAGAATCATTAGAACAATGTTATTATATGCCCACAATCTTACACTAGCCTTTCTTTCACAACTTATGCCTAATTGGGTAAATCTATTCCATTGTTAAAAACCAATATAGACTTAAGCTTAAATCAGAAACTCAGTCATGTGACTTATATAATAATAACACTTTTGTAATAAATTTCAAATGGATACTTATGCAAATGCAAGCAATAGTACAGCTAAAAAGCCGCTCTCGCCACCTATGTTGGTTGGTCGATAATGGTAACCTCAGGGCTAAAGTTATGGTTTAAACTCCTCCTCCCCTCCCCACCCTCCTAAATTATTAAAAATAAAAAAAATAATGAAGAAAAAAAAATTGTATTCATATTTTTAAGTCTGACCACAGCCACAACCATGGTGGGTAGACCCTCTATAATTGGCGGGCGCATTATTTTTTTCCCCATACACTTAAGGCAGAATTTACAGAGGGCGCTATTTTAGGTCAGTTTAAGGGAACTGATATATGTACATGAATATGCATGCAGACTTCCACTCGCGAGTCGCGAAAGCAGTGTTCGCCGCTTGTGGAATATGAAATCGCCTGTGATGTGAAAGCTGTCTGTGTATACTGTAGTTGGTAGGCCAAAATTTCTTTATTTGGTCGAGAGGGTGTAGTCGACACGGTGAAAAATAATGGCCTAATGTTTAGTATTGTAATTATAATATCCCTATAATGCCTAGGCACTTTGTTTACGTACAGCAAGATCTTTGCAAGTTGTATAAAAAGCAGCTTTTAATCTGGTCGGTTATTTGAGCATTGCAGTAATGTAAAGTACAGTATTCCATACATAATAATACAGGGAATTGTTTTAGAAGAAAATTTTATGTACAGTATTGTTATAATGTTGATTTCTCACAAACATGTCGTTCATATTCAATATAAATAAATGTAATAGGCATATATTTATATAGCTATAAACGTTGATTATACCAAATCAAATAATATTCTATAATATGTCGTACTGTTTACATTAAAGGCTGTCTATCCAATTAAAAAAAAATGAATAGCATATTTAAAACGATCGAAATCAGATAGAAGTGAAAAAAGAAACTTTCACTTAATAACAGGATAAAATCCTTAATAATAAATCATGTCAAAACATACAGCAAATATTTCACTCTCTGTTAATTGACAAGGATTTTTTCTCATAAAATATTGCAAGTTAGCAACTGTGTCCGAAGTATTCGTAATTTGTCTCCGATTATTTTTAAACGTTTATATCCGTCAGAATCAGTACTATTATAGGGGGCATACAATTGCTACAACACATGTCATATCTAGGATACTATACTTTAGGCCTACTCAACTAGCCAGATTCAATATTACTGTGCTTATACTTTGAATGACCATGCTTACTCGATACACAACTCTGAACTCTGTTTCGCGGGGTGGACGCCGTCTGGTATGCATATTCATGCATATATATCAAATTCACCTAACTGACCTAAAATAGCGCCCTCTGTAATTTCTGTCTTAAGTGTATGGAAAATAAATAATTCCCCCGCCCCCTTCTATTACGAATTCCGGGTTCCGCCACTAATAATAGTAAGCAAAAATCGATGTAATACAAATGTTTGTTAGGCATTATATAAAGCATGAGCATCCAATTTCTGGAATCGCTGCACATGCAATTTACTATCAAATTATTAGGTGGGTGGGGGGGATAGTGTTGGAAATCACAACTTGGGTCCCAGAGAAAAAGGTTTTGGAAGCGGGGATTACTGACATGAAGAGGGGAGACTGATTGGGGATAAAGGACTGATGGGGATAAAGGATTAGGGGGGGGGGGGCTGATATGATACGATGTCACATTTGCGGATCTGAGGGGTCAAGGGAGCCTTTGTGCCTGGGGGCCCTGGCGCCCCCTCCCTCACCGTCAGCGCCCGAGCGTGACGCCACTGCCGAACCCCTTTTAATTTGGGGGTTTTTTTAAACATTTTCACCCCCCCACCCCCCCCCCCCCCCCCCCCCAAANAAATAAAAATTCAACCTACTGATCCGCCCCTAATGTCTAACCATTGGTTCGGCGCCATCGGAATCCGGGTTCGGGGGCATGTCTTCCTATTGGAAAACACTGCTTTGAAAAAGCATTTTTAAAGTCTGAACGTGCCATTTTCGGGAATCTAGAGGTTTCAATTTTTAAACTTTTCTCACCTCAGCCCCAACCATGGTGGGGACTGATTTGATATGAGACTGTGCTTGCCGAACTATCTATTATCCCAATCCTAATCATGTATGAAAAAAAGTGTGGTATGATACAGAAATAACTCATACTCTACACATGAACATTCCAACTAGAGATTTACTGCTGTGCGAAAGTGCAAGTTCAATGAGTACAAACAAATAAGAACAACTTGACTACCACGGAATTTCCATAATATATGCCTACGAAATATTTCCAACACATAATGTAAGCCGGCCGTTTTTTTTCCACGATGGGTCATCAGCTTTCGAAATCGAGTGATAGAATCCGACTAATTTGTCAGTTACTGCACATTTTAGAAAGGAGATCATGGGATTCTAAGCCAGTTAGATCGATATTTAAGATATCGTTTTTTCATACATGCAGCGATAATTCGACGAAATCCCAGCATTCAATCAGTAACACCGCCGGTAGATGCTTTTGATGTTTTTGGGGTTGATTGTATTTTTTGTTCGTATCTATTATGTTCTAATTAGATTATCCCAATATAAAACTCTCATGTTTAACTGTTAATTTCAACGAAAAAAAATTGTGCCTGTGGCCATTTCTTGGCGTGTTATCTTAGGTATAGCTTTAGATACAGTTGTTTATGGGTATCAAATTCTGAAACAAAAAATGAATGATTAACTACACGGTTAAACTATGGACCTATTAATTATTAATAGGTCCATGGCTAAACAATATAAATTGATCCATAAACTTGTAGTACGTTAGACACATAGTATTAAAGAATTATTACTCTTCTTTCATTATATATTTATAATATATATAGTATATATAGTATATATGTATATATGTATATATATAGTATATATATTATATATGCGTATATATATATATATATATATAGTTTGATATGGTAAACAACAAAGTATACTACGTAGACCTGTCCGATATTATATATATCTAAATGATAATTATTTAATTGAACGCTCCATTATTTAATATAAAATATTTAAATAAAGATGATTTTATATTTATGAAGAAAACATAGTTATATAATTTTGAAGATTTTGTTAGTTTTGT